CAAAATTAATACACATAAGTAAGATAAAACAAACTGAGAAATATAGTATATAATATAATTGGCATATAAACCTTGATGGCGACCTGGTTTTGGACGCTGAACAGGTTGTTATGAACAATTGACAGTGTTTCACGGGGTGACGGTGTCGGTAACGACTACACAAAGATCTGTTTACTCGTGCCACGATCAAAATGGATCTACTATTAGATCGTATTTCGGTACATTCGGATTGATCCGGAGCTTGTCGTCCGTTGTTGCGCCACTTTACAATCGCGGTACAGGAAAATTGTGAGAGAGTATGTTACGGCGACTATCGGAACTCCCGGAAGCCCTATCAAACCGTGATTACAGTGTGTGACGACGTCGTCGTCTAAACAGATGCACTAAAACCTGCAAAATTGGAACGACATTTGAAGACAGTCCACCCAAATTTTAGTAATCGTTCTCGAGAATTCTTTGAAGGTAAGAAGGAAAACTTTAAAAAAATGAAACTTGGGACAAGTGGTGCGAGATTTGAAACCTCTGAAAAAGTGCTTCATACCTCATATGAGATCTCCCTATTAATTGCAAAATCTAAAAAACCTCATACTATTGGTGAAACTTTGATTAAACCGTGTTTGTTGAAAGCCACAGAAGAGATTTTAGGTAAGGAAGCAGCAAAAAAAATACAAGACATTCCTTTATCAAATAACACTGTAAAATCGCGAATAGGAAATATGTCACAAGACATTGAAGAACAGCTTATATGCCTCATAAAAAAATCTCCATGGTTTGCTCTTCAGTGTGACGAAAGTACGGATGTAGCACAATGTTGTCAATTGCTAATCTTTGTTCGATTTTTAAGTGGAGATAATACAATAAAAAAAGAATTATTACTATCACAAGTATTAGAAACTACGTCAAAAGGAGTTGACGTTATGAAAATAATTCTTGATTATTTTGAAAAACATAAACTAATGTGGGAAAATCTTGCTGGATTTTGTACCGATGGCGCTCCTGCTATGCTCGGGTCACGTTCAGGTTTAGCTACATTGGTAAAACAAAAAAATCCAACCACATTAACTACGCATTGTATTATACATCGTCAAGCGTTGGCATCCAAAACATTACCAAAAGACCTAGCTTTTGCGATGAAAATATCCATACAGTTAGTGAATGCTATTAAAAATAGTGCACTCAATACACGTGTTTTTCAAAAATTATGTGCAAATATGGACGCTGAGCATGAAACATTACTATTTCATACTGAAACAAGATGGCTTTCGAAAGGAAATATGTTGGCACGTTTATTTGAGCTTCGAGAGGAGTTGAAGTTTTTTTTAATCGATAAAGGTATGAACTATTTATATGAGCAACTCTGTGAGCCAAAAATTGAAATACAAATTGCATATCTTGCGGATATATTTGTCCACTTAAATCACCTAAATTTGTAACTGCAAGGTTCTGGTAATGTTAAACTTGAAGGTTCCGCAAATATTTTCGTATTTGAAGATTAAGTTCGCGCTTTTGTCTCCAAGATAAATCTTTGGATTGACAAAATTCAGGTGAAAAATTATTCTGTATTTCCTAACCTGCGAGTTCTTATTGATGATGAACACTACAAATGTTTTACAGAAGATATTCAGAATAATGTATTAGAACACTTAAGAATCCTTAAAGAGGAATTTACCAGATACTTTCCAGAGTATGGTGTAGTAGACATTGATGTTGTTAAGAAGTTAATTCGTAATCCTTTCACTGTCGAAGTCAACAACGTTCAAGAAGAAATGCAAGAAGAATTAATAGATTTTCAGAACGACAGCAACTTGAAGAGTTCGTTTGAATTTAGTACAAACTTAGAGGAGTTTTGGTGTAAAAAGGCCATGGGATATCCAAACATTCGGCAAACAGCATTACGTTTCCTCATGGTTTTTTCAACCACATATTTATATGAGCAAGGATTTTCTTCACTATTATCTATACAAAATAAACAACGAAATCGTCTGAATCCAAGTGATGATATGCGACTGGCACTAAGCAACAGCATCGTTCCAAGAATTTCACAACTGGTAAAAGAAGCGCGCCCTAATAAGTCACATTAATACTCAATAATATAAATTTGTTACATTTTTTTCTCATTGAATAAGTTAATTAATATAAGTTCGTAAAATGTAAAATTTTAATTTGTATCAACTTTTTTTATTAAACTAAATTTTTAAATAAATCAGTTAAATTATTTTTCCACGATATCAACTGTATTTCTGATTTTATTTTGTACGTCGAAATTATAAACTATATTATATAAAACTATAAAAAAAATAAGTGATATAAAGAGGGGGGTTGAAATCAGGGAGTGGTCCGTGACGGTGAAAAATTTATAAAAGTGGTCCGTGCCTATTGTTGAGTTGGGAACCACTGCTCTAGTAGTATTGGCCTTTTTAACTTATTAAAAGAAGAAATAAAAAAACTAGGATTAATGTTAAATGATATTGTTGCATGTTCATTTGATGGTACCGCCAATATGAAAGGTATTTATAACGGTTTACAGGCTCATTTAAAAAGTGTGAATCCAAACATTGTGTACACACACTGTATGGGGCATGTATTAAATTTGGTAATGAGTGAATGTAGTACTGATATTAATTTGGCTGAAGACTTATTTGGATTAGTTGAGCAATCCGCTGTTTTTTTATCAGATTCCCACAAACGAATGAAACTTGGACATCTATTACTAGTGTAAAACATACTGGTCATGACAAACTTTATAGACTCCAAAAAATTGGTGCAACTAGGTGGTGGAGTAAAGATAAAGAAGTCAATAACACTAAATTTACCACTTTATTAACTTTTTTAACCACAGTTTGTCATGGCAATTTCAATTCACAATCTAAGTTCATTGCTAAATCATTGATTAGTAATTGGTCAAGATTTGAAATTATATGTATATCTAATTTATTGCTTGATATTTATTCAGCTACAACTCCGGTGTAAATTTATCTACAAACTAAAACTATAAATTATTTACAAGCATGGAATATGATAGCTGCTTTAAAAAAAGAAATAATGAGTATGTATTAAATTTATATAAAAAATGTCAAAATTTTTGTAAAAAAATTAATAATCACTTTTGTGAAGATTTAATTAATATTGAAGAAGATTTTCCAATAAAACGTATTTCAAAAAAAAAAAAACTTTCTGGGGAAAAGTGTTATGATGAATCAAGAATTATATCTCCATATAATAAATTTAAATATGATACTTTTTTAATTATAGATACTATTCAAAATAGTATTGAGACACGATTCATGAAAAATGAAAATTTATTAAAAGACTTGAACTGGTTGGACCCTAGAAGTTTTGCAGTATTTAACAACATTGAATTATTGCCTGTATCAGCTTTGAGTACTTTATGTAAAATATCTGGACTGAATCATGAAGTAATCTTAACAGAATTGAAACAATTTTCCAGTCAATATGAAAACTTTATACCACAAATACCTAAATATACTACCGATTGTGATTCAGAAAATAAGATACTTTTAAGAAATGAAGATGTGAGTGATGAAAATAATGATGAAATATCAAAATCAGTAAATTGCAATAAATGTAAAAAATGTATTCACTGTGCATTTTTAATTGTACGGGAATTATCATGCCAGTCAAATTTATTTTCAAATTTATTTGTCATATATAAGTTTGCTTTGTTGTTGCCATCAACACAAACAACTTGTGAAAGAGTATTTTCAAAGCTTAAATGTATAAAAACAAAACTTTGCTCAATGTTACACCAAAATCACCTTATTCCATTAATGTTGATGGCTATAGAAAAGAATATAGCCATTGATACTCAAAAATTAATTGAAACAATAGCTTATTCATCTAATAAATTAAAAATATTACTTATTTAAAAATTGTGTTTTATTATTTAAAATATTCTTACTAGGTAGGTATTTCAAAAATAATTAGTTGTAAAATTGCTTTTATATTTAATTTAACTCATGAATCATGATTATGATATATAGGTATTATATATTATGATCTATATTGGAAAAAATGTAAAGTACCTATATTTAAAGAAGTATCTTAAAATAATGTTTCAACAAAATACAGTGTACATTTTTTGGGGGCCCCTTAAAAAAACTGATCCATGGGCCTTTGGTATGCCAGGCCGACACTGAACTTACCTCATTGTAATATGAGGAGCGACATTCCATAATGTACTATTGCCACTTTTGATAATGTTCAGGAATCACGATTTTCTATTGTATACTGTTATTAAGCAGTAGAAAAAAGGTAAAATATGTTAAAAATTCAGAAAAATATACTTATTATACTTCTCAAGTCAAAATTATCTTAAAATTATTATTTTACTATTTTAATTAATAATTTTAAATGTTGGTTGCGCCATAATGTACTATTTCCATCCAATAGTACACTTTGACTTACTCAAGAATTTAGAGAATAATGAACCAAGTTTTTTCCAAAATGTACTTATTCCATATTTCCTCCAGATGTTGAATAGTATAATATGAAATAAAACCCAATGGTCAAAATGAAATAGCCTTTTTTGAATAATGTATGATGGATAAAAACAGTAGTTGTAAAGTTTGTCTTCTAACATATTATTTCCAATACAAATATTTTATAGTTTTTGCATAATATGGTACCTACTGAATAACTAATAAATAATAACCTTTATAATAAAACAATTTTTTTTTTTTACAATATTCCTTGTGAATCAGAATCTATGAATTCAATTATAAAGGTAAAAGGAGAAAATACAAAAATAAAACAATTAAAATAATTTAATAATATTAGATATTATTATCTTTATCTGTTTAAAATAAAATAAAATCAATACATTAAAAATAAAAAACAATTTAGCCTCATTAATAATATTAATATAGTATTAAATATAACAAATAAAATAAAATGAATAAACAATATAAAAATAGGTATTACCTATACCTATTTAAAATACTAAATAAAGGTTAAGATATTTTAACAAAATAAAATGAATATAATTAAAATGTAACAAAAATAAAATAAAATATGTTGCTTCATTTATAATAATAAAATAGTAAATAAAATAATAAATTTATTAATATCATTAACCACTAGATATTACCTATACCTATTTAAAATGTTGATTAATGTTTTTTAAATGATACAATGATCAGTCATGATCAGTCAGTCTTGATCTTCATTATATTCATCTAAAATATCTTCAACGTTTGATTCACAACTTTCTTTAAATATATCGGAATAAAATGTTTTGGCATCATCTGGTATTGTAAAAAATTTTAAAAGATTTTTTACATCTTTTTGTTTTAATACCTTTACATGATTTGTCTTAGGTAATTCTATAAGATGTTAAGTCAATGTAGAGAGATCAGAGTTTCTTTTTATCACTTCTATCTTGAATGGCAATCCACTATACGTTGTTGAAATTCCAACAGTTTGGTCACCTTTATTATATGTAAATATTTTTTGTTGTGTTGATTTAAAATCAGTTTTAGATTTTACAAATTTCTTTACTGCAGTTTTATAGTCATAAAATAAAAAGTCCTTATTGTATACTTTAACAGAACACAATTTTTCAAATACTTCATGATATTGTGTAGGGGATACAATATTCTCTTTTTTCCTCAAAATTTGTTCTATTTGTCCGAAAACTCTATCTGGTGGCATATAACTATGGCCTCGTGTAGGGAAAAAATGATTAATTTTTTTAAATATGGTAGCTTTGAAGTTTATATAATGTAGTAAGGTAATCATTGTAAATTGATTTTTATTTTATCCCGAACAAGAGTCGGAAAATAAATTAAGCGTAGTGGGGGTGATTCATAAGTCTTAACTTTGGTTTCTAGCAAATCAAGAAAATCAATTAAGGCAGAACAGACCTCATTAGGTCCACGACCACTTTCGGTTTCAGTCCAAGTATATAAATAATTTTCTGCTGGGCCATGATTTGATTCTGAAATTACAAAAGTTAAGTTATACAACCATACTTGACGACTGTAAAAAACTTCAGTTACTGACAATTTTGGTAACGGCTGTGTCTGCATTATATCAAAAGAACATGTAATGGTATCTGGAGTTTTTTCTTTTAAGAGCTCGAAAAATTTTTTAGCCCTTTGTTTGTGTACATTCAGCTCTAACAGTTCATTTTTTATGTTACTGTCTGATTCAACATTAATTTTTACTTTTTGTTCAGTGCAAAAACTACATACGTCTTGGCGTGGATGTCCAAAACTTAAATTAAACTTTTTAGTAAATATTTTTTAATATTTACTTAAACTACTAGTTGGTTTTATTTCAGAAATCCTCTTTTTCGTCCAATGTGTCCACATGTACTTGATACTTAGACCAGGTTGCAAATAACATCGACCAGTATCTCTTCTGGTATGATGACTCTTACGACATTTAAAATGTTTGATGTGGTCTTCAATAGACTGTGTTATTTCAATTGCAGTATGGTTAAAACGATATCCTCCTCTTTTTTCAACTGGACTACTATGATTGATATTAAATGCTTTGGTGACCAAATTAAGTCTTCGTCTAGTTAAAGATGATATAGAACTAAATGCTTCACCACAAACCTTCACCATATTACCATTTGAAGCTGGTATGAAATAGTTAGTAACTGTCCGTGTTTGCACACAGCAAATCAATTCCATATTTATCTCGTTATCACTATCAGTATCAGTATTATCTATTTATGTTATTCTAACTCCGCGTTTATCGGCAATTGCAATTTCACGGTTTCACGGTCTTTTGTCACAGAACACGGGACCGGCTGGGTTGCAATCGCCGATAACCAGAGTATAAAAGGCCGCACGACCAGCGACCAAGTACCATTCCTTTACCAGCATTGTAGTAAGACCTACCCAGGCAGACTTACGCAATTGTTGGTAAAGGACTTCCCCGCCTTGACGGATCTTGTTGGACTGTTGTGGTGCGCGTCCAGTGGTTCAATAGTTGGAGTATTCCGGCATTGGATCGGCCGCCCACAGTCAATGGGACAATAGTCAGAGCTATTCAGGCATTGTCTCGACTGTTAAACAGTCCAACTTGATTCCTTCGTCATTTCCCGTCAGTG